AGGTACAGAACCATCTGGGAAAGGGGATGAGATGTGGGGATGCAGGAACCTTCCCGGTCCCTCCAAACCGCCGGTAGCTTCACATCAGTGTAATCCACTACTTAGGAGGGGTGTAAGTACATACAGTCGTGACATAAAATGGTGGGACAGAGATAGAAAGTGAGAGGAAAGGCAGGTTACCCGGGAGCAGAGGCAGTGCCTGGCATCCTGTTCTCTCCCCACTCCTGCTACACCCAGGGCTCACAAAACCAACAGGCAGGCACGGCGACACTTCCTTAAAACTTGTGAACCAATAGGCTGAATTACAAAAGGAAAAACGAGGCACGAGCCCTGGCTCTCTAGTTTCCCAGCAAGTCACCTCAAAGCAAAATGATGGAGGACCATCTCAGCCCCTTCCTTTCCTAGGATATGATCAAACACCACCAAAGTCCTCAGCCAGGGACAAGTCTGGGAAGAGCAGTGTGACCACAGTTTGCTGTTTAGACTTTATCAAGCCTGTACCTGCTGTGATTATCCTTTAAAACTATTAAGCCCCATGTTATCAATGTCTGTATCTATTGCCAGACTTCCCTGTGGTCCCTCTTGGTGACTCTGGTGATCCTGTTCATCCTGACTGGGACCATGCTGGGCCCAGATCTACTGGCACACATTCCTGCATCTGTCTACGTCATTGCAGTGCTGATGCCTCTGGCAGGGTATGCCTTGGGATACGGCTTAGCCACCATCTTTAAGATGCCCCTACACTGCAGAAGAACAGTGTCTTTGGAAACAGGGTGCCAAAACGTCCAGCTCTGCACCGCCATCCTGAAACTCACCTTCCCCCCGGAGCTGATAGGGAGCATGTACATGTTCCCCTTGCTCTACGCGCTTTTTCAGTCGGCAGAAGCAGGACTCTTCGTGCTGGCCTACAAGATGTATGGGAGAGACAGCTACAAACAAGATGCCCTGGGTGAAGAGGAAGACACCGATATTTCCTACAAGAAACTGAAGGAAGAGGAGGTGGCCGATACTTCGTACGGCACAGTGACCACAGAGGAGCACAACTCCATTCAGATGGAGCCGGCGCAGACGGCGCTTTAGGCGGGACCAGGAGGCGACGCCGGGGACGGGTGATGTGTGTTGGTTGTACTTGCCCCCAGGCTGGGGCCGCGCCGGCTGCTGCGCCAGCACAGCTGCCCCGCCTCCGTCATTTCTCCCGCTACTTCCATTGTACAAGGTGACGTGCGTTGATTACCGTGACAGTTGTATTTCCTCAAAAATACGAAAAAAAAAAAATAAAAAAAAAATAAAGGACCAGGTATCGCTGCGACGCAAACCCGTAACCGTCCATCCTCATGCCAGGCGGCTGCTGCCCGCCCCAGCGCAGCAGGAACAGGCTCCAGGAGGGAGAGCAGCGCTTTGCAGAGCCCGGGCCCGGGGCCGCAGCGCCGGTGCGCGCGTTCCCTCCGCGCCTCCCGCCCGCTGTGAAAGCTTTGTGCTTGTCGTTTGCACCACAAATACATGGCAAAGCTGAACCAAACCCACGTTTCCCGCTGATTAATCCGCGCGGGCAATTAAGGGCCGCGCTGTCTGGTTCATCAGCGGGGATGAACCAGCTGGGGGAGTGGGAGACGCCCGGCCGAGGCCCAGACCGGGCTGGGATGGGAATCTTGTCCCTTACCCCCTCTCTTACCAGAGGATTCATTTTTCCAAGGGAAGCTTTACTTAAGAAGGGAATAAAGGAAGCTAGAAAGGAGCTGGAGGCGGTGGGAGGTTTGCAGGCTGGCTCTGCTATGAATAAGTGCAGTGCAGGCTGAGTGTGACCTTACCACAGGTCTGAAGTTTCATCTCAGACACCAGACTGAAGTTTTCATGACAGTGTCCTGAGTTCCTGCACTGCTGTGGGATGGGGGCAGAGCTGCCTTGGCCATGCCCTGGTGGCAGGCACAGTGTCACCATGGTCCTGGCTCACTGGGGTGGGCATGGAGCTGCCAGGCCAGTCTGCAAACACAGGGAAAGTGAAAACCACCACGTGAGGGAAGAAACACTCTCACCAATGGAGGCTGGTTTGTCACCCTCTCAGCTGACAGGAAAGAAAGGAACTTTTTTTTTTTTTCCCTGCGGTCACTGCCGAAGCACTGAAGCTTTTGCAGTGATGTGTGACAGCTACACCGTAACCACTACAGCTACACCATAATCACTACAGCTACACCATAACCACTACAGCTACACAAATGCTGTGAGTTCCAGGGCTCCATCTCTCTGCAGTGAGGAACAGCAGAGGTGGCTTTGCCATGTAAATGCACTATTGAAATGGAGTCTCTCATGTGGGGCTTCCACTTGCTTCACTAATTTATTTTCTGATCTGATTGCCACTGTCTTTTAAATATCTTCTTGCCCTTTTATGTTTTAAACCTAATTTGGCTCACAACTGTTTGGCCTGCTTGGGAATACTTCTGCCAGTCTCCCAAATGGTCTGTAATGGAGAAGAAGGAAGGAAAAGCTAAATATGAAATAGAAATTACTTTCACTAATAAGGACATTTCAGCCTTACAATTGCCCAGTGCTTTGCAAATGGAGTAATAAATGGCAACTTTTTGCAAAGAGCCAGTTGGTGCTTCAGGACTGTCTTCTACTGACAGACATGGAGAATGCTGTGTGCAGGCGGCAGGAGAAACTGTCATAATCCCTGTCCCTCAGTTAACACACCTGGCATATTTCCACCAAATCCATTCAACATGAAAACTTTCCATCCTTTTATCCCTTTATTTTCCTCCTTCTCCCCTCTAATATTCTATGTGTAACACTTGCTGTGAGGCTACCCCTGCCCCGCCTGCCCCCGCCCTCTCCCCGGCCGAACCCGCCGACCGCCGCCTTCCCCCCCAGAGCTGCAAGCAGACCAGGTGCACCTGCCCCGTCAAGATGCGCCACGTGGACCCCAAGAGGCCCCACCGCCAGGACCTCTGTGGGAGATGCAAAGGGAAACGCCTCTCCTGCGATAGCACGTTCAGTTTCAAATACATCATCTGAGTGGGATGGGTTGGGGTTTTTGTTTTGGTTTGGTTTTTGTTTAGGGCTCTTCCAGAAACCTGCAAGTAGAGCAGACTTTTTTGTTGTTCTTGTTTGAAGGCACTCGGTGAGGTGTAGCTAGGGAAGCATGCAAATAAAAGTATTGCAGAGCGCGCTCAAATGATCGGGTGGGTTTGTGCCCAGCTGAGAGGGTGTGTGTTGCAACACAAATAATCCTTTGTAAATCAGTGATGGTCTTGGCAGCAACTGACTCAGGACTGTATGGAATCTCAGGTGGCAAAGGATGTGTTACTGCTCCTTCCCTTCCAACTAACCAAACACTTGAAGTTAACATGAAATTGACATTTACAATAGGTAGCAGAACATAATTAATGTACAAAACACCTGCCAGCATTCACTTTGTGCACTTATATTCCATGTGGAAAGTTTCCTGCACCTGTTCTTCATCACTTGAAAATGATTGAGAAGTGCTGTGTCACTTCTGCTGTTGCAGCTGGTCTTCATTTAGCTCAGCTAGTGTTCTTGTCCTGTAGACTGAAGCCAGAGAGCTTGAGGTTAATGCATCTTCAGGGACAATTCTCAGAAACTGCTGTGGGAAGGGAATCACTGATGTTATGGTCTTAGTAAATGAGTTACCCATCTTTACTTCCACAAGGTTATCACGAGAAGTGACACTTGTAAGGTTCAATGTATGATATTGCATCTGCCTGCCTTCCTCTTGTACCTGCAGGTGATGCATTGTGGTTTAGCTGCCTGCCACTGGGGAAGGATCAGACTCCTTGCACCCTTCTGACACTGGGCTTGCGACTAGGAATTTACTGCTAGTGTTGGGTAGTTGTGGCAGAACCAGCATAGTTACTCCCAGATGATGCTCTTCAAGGGCTGTTGGTGCTGCCAGTGGTAATGGACTCTGTAGGGACACCATGTGCCAGCAAAGCATTTCAAGTTGGCTCTGGTACTACAAACATCAGTATCTGAGCAGATTCACAGGCTAGTAAAACCTACAACCTATTAGTCTACCCTGTAGCCAAGGAGTTGTGGAAGTGTAGAGGATAACATACTCTTCAGAGAATATAAATACAAATTTTGAACTTGAACATAAAAATGTACAAGGGCTTTTGCAGAACTCCTGAGGTAACTTCTGTTTGGAAAGACTAATTTATCTTGACTATAATAACTTACCTGTACCTAGCTTACCTGAGACCACTCTACTGAAGACTAAAGGGGAATCCAGTCTGTGTCCATGCTATGGAACAGCTTTAGTGCCAGGTGGTTTTATATCTCTAAATGGAAGCTAATGCATTGTGGGGTAGGCGAACATCAGCAAATCATCATAATCTGTTCTGGCAAATGTCCATTCAGAGGGGCAGTGAGTGTTAATTCTGTAGGCATAACTCATCTTTCTGTAGATTTCTGCTTTAATGTGCCCCTTGAACTTGCTGCAGTAACTAAGGCTTCATGCCTCAGGTGGTTTATTACAAAGTAATTTATTCTTGCTCCATTCATTATTATAGCAGCATGAGGCATTCTGGGAACAAGTAGACCTACCACCCCCAGAATGGCGTACTGGTTTACTTTGCGCTTCCAAGCAAAGCATTTTTTCCCCTGTATTGTAGTAAAAATATATATCCCTTGCTTTACCAACTGAAAGACTTTATGCAAGTTCCATCCTTGCCCTGTTCAACTTGAAAAGCACAACTGCAGCTGGCAGTTTTCTGTTGTAGATGAGTGTGCCTGACACCTGTAGTTATGAGCAGAGGCAAGTCTCTGACTTGAGGGAGAACAGCTGGGATGTGCAGTCTGCCTCAGCTTGCAGTTGCAACTGTGATCTGGATGCCTGTCTTTTAATTTGAGTGTATTTCCCTATAATGATGTCCTTCAGTTATGTTTCCTTTCCTCATTTTAAGTGATGTAGTGTGGGAGACTATCTGTGATGAGTCTGCACCTTGGTGACGAGTAAACTCCGTGCCATGTCAGTATGAAGTCATATGGCAACTCAGCAATAAAAGCAGTCAAATGTTTCCTATTTATACAGCTGTCTTCACAAACATTGCTTTGAGGAGTACTTGTTTTGAATATGGTGATTCTTAAACAGTTATTATCAGTAAAAGCCTGAAGTGAAATTTATTACAACTTAGAGTGGTCATTGCCACTAACAACGGTAAAAGCAGCAGTTGCTTCTGTTTGATAAGATGTAGAACCAAGCCTAGCTGATCTGAACTGGATGGTGTTCTTCAACAGCAACTGGTCCAACCAAGCAGCTGATGAAGGCTCCAAGTGCCAGGATGTGCCCTGCTGTCATCAGCTACTGTTAGGCGTTGGGGCTTGAAGGAGTGGAGTGCAGTGGGCAGCAATACTAAACAAGCTTTTCTTCATCCTGCAGTGTTCCTCACTTTTGCAGTAGCTCTACACATAAAATATGTTCAGTGCTTTTAATGCTTGATGCCAAAGTACAGTTCTGTATCCTTTTCCACTTTATTGCTGTCATGTCCTTCATTGCATACAGTGCATGTGATGGGCACTGGTTCCTAGACTCAGCAGAAAAAGCTACTCATGACCTATGTGATTATGCAAAGTGGAAAGGGACAGTCTTAATGCTGCCAGTTCTTCAAAGATACCTTGAACTTGCCCTCCTACCCTGTACAGCTTCTTCATGAAGCTGTTTTCCATGTTACTTCAGGCACTGCTGTATTTGCTGCATCTCACTGAAAATTTCTGATGTTTCACTTGTCTCTAGACTGCTTTACTGCAGCTTCAGATTTGGCACAGACCTGGCACCAGGTAACATGGGGTGACAGCTTATGCAGTAGTTAAGAATGAGTAATTTTGGAAAAGCTTCACAAAATTAAAGCAATCTCAAAGAAAGTCAGCTTGTATGATTCTGCTCCCATAGGGAATGCTACACTAGTCAGTCACTATAAATGGAGCAAGATGTATAATGTAAGGAATCATTTGTATAAATTAATGTTGTGAGTTGTAGGAGAACCTTTAACAGCTTCAGAAGATGCCTAGGAAAATGCTGTTGCATTGACAGGAAAAAAACATGATTACAGGACACCCAGGGCTCTATT